CAATGCCAGTTTCCTTAGATATTGGGGCCAAAGTTGTTCACATTATTCTGGATGTGGTCAAACTAATAATGCCTTATGTAGTTTTACCAGGACTTCCCAATTTTCATTCTCCATTTCCTTTGAAATAGAGACCAACACCCCATTTGCCTGCCCTATGACCCACTGAACCTCGATGCCAGCATTTGTGATTTATAGACGAGGATTCCCAAAACCCTCAGTACTGCAGCTGTCTGCAATCTTTACCCATTTAAATATTATTCAGCTCCTCTATTTTTCTTGCCAAAGTGCATAATCTCACAATTTCCCATATTATATTCCATCTGCCAGGTGTTTTCCCATTCGCCTAACCCGTCTATATCCCTCTACAGACTCTGCATCACCCTTACCACTTGCATTACATGTTAATATACTGGAATTAATTGTGGGCCCAGAGCTGATCCATGTGGCACTCCATTAGTTACAGGTTACCAACCTCAAAATACCTCCCTTATCACAACCCTCTGTCTTCTAACAGTTAGCTAATCCTCTAACCATGCTAATATACAACCCCCAATACCATGGCCTCTTATTAAATAGTTTAATATGTGGTATCTTATTGATTGCCTTTTTAAAAGGCTGCATTTATTGACACCAACGCATGTACGCTATGCACCTCATAAATTCACAATGTATAGTTAAATGTGCACAGGGGCAATGTGGGGAATGCAGCCCCAGGGGGATTTGTCCTCATTGCCAACCCCATCCTGACTCCCTCAGTCTCGCACCTTCATTCTCCCCTCTATCTATCACCCTCACTACCCCCACATCCTCACTACCCAATCTCCCATTCTCCATCTCGTGCCCTCACTCTCCCCCGCCCTCTCACTTTTCCGATTATGCACCCTCACTTCCCCCTCCATCCTAAATGCTCACTCTCCTCATTCCTTTACTCCCCCACTCCATCTCATATGCTCACTGTCACCCATGCCCTCTGTGTCCTCACTCCCCTTCCCCCACCCTCACTCCCACCCCACCCCCACCACCCCCATTTTGAATCCTCACTCTTCCCATCCTCTCATTCCACAACCCAGCCTGGATCCTCACTCTCTCCATTCTCACACTTGCTCCACTCTAACCCACATGCTCACTGTCCCCCGTGCCCTCACGACACCCCACATCCTCAATCCCACACTCATGGCCTCACTCCCCTCCCACCGCATCTTCACTCCCCTCTGCAGCCTTCCAATACCCATAACCACTTACTGCCCCCATACCCACTTGCTGCTCCCATACTCACCTGCTGCTAGCTGGGTTTTTCTACATGTTCACCAATGTAACATAGAACATAGAACAGTACAGCACAGTACAGGTCCTTCGGCCCACAATGTTGTGCTGAACTTTTACCCTAATCCTAAGGTCTATCTAACCTCCATCCCTACCTTATACTATCATCCATATGCCTATCTAATAGCCGCTTAAATGCCCCTAATGAGGCCGACTCCACTACCCTCTCCGGCAATGCATTCCACGCCCCGACCACTCTCTGAGTGAAGAACCCACCTCTGACATCTCCCCTATATCTATCTCCACTCACTTTAAAACTATGCCCCCTCGTAATAGCTACCTCCACCCTAGGAAAAAGTCTCTGGCTGTCCACTCTATCTATACCTCTGATCATTTTGTACACCTCTATCAAGTTACCTCTCATCCTTTGTCATTCTAAAGAGAAAAGGCTTAGCTCTCTCAAACGTTCCTCGTAAGACCTTCCCTCCATTCCAGGCAACATCCTGGTAAATCTCCTCTGCACCTTTTCCAACGCTTCCACATCTTTCTTGTAATGAGGTGACCAGAACTGGACACAATACTCCAGATGTGGCCAAACCAGGCTTTTGTACAGCTGGAGCATAACTTCACGGCTCTTGAACTCAATCCCTCTATTAATGAAAGCTAACACACCATACGCCTTCTTAACAACTCTATCCACCTGGGTGGCAGCTTTCAGGGAACTGTGGACATGACCCCAAGATCCCTCTGCTCCTTCACACTGCCAAGAATCTTTCCGTTAACCCTGTATTCTGCTTTCAAGTTTTTCCTTCCAAAATGAATCACCTCACACTTTTCAGGGTTAAACCCCATCAGCCACTTCTCAGCCCAGCTCTGTATCCTATCAATGTCCCTTCGTAACCTAGAACAGCCCTCCGCACTGTCCACAACGCGACCCACCTTCATATCGTCTGCGAACTTACTAATCCACCCTTCCACTCCTTCATCCAAATCAATTACAAAAATCACAAATAGAAGAGGACCCAGAACAGATCCTTGTGGTACACCACTTGTAACTGAGCACCATGTTGAATATTTTCCGTCCACTACCACCTTTTGTCTTGTACGGGTCAGCCAATTCTGAATCCAATCTGCCACATTTCCCCCTATCCCATGCCTCCTTACCTTCTGCATGAGCCTACCATGGGGAACCTGATCAAACGCCTTACTTAAATCCATGTATACCACATCCACTGCTCTACCTTCATCCACGTGTTTGGTCACCTCTTCAAAGAATTCAATAAGGTTTGTGAGGCATGATCTACCCCTCACAAATCCATGCTGACTATCATGAATCAAACTGTGCCTTTCCAAGCGATCATAAATCCTATCTCTCAGAGCCCTTTCCAATAATTTGCCCACCACTGACGTAAGAGAACATAAGCCACAGAAAGCTGGGTACATATTGAATCAACTATCTGGAAGTTGACTGATAATTATGTGCATTAATTTGACATTTTGGACTTACATATACAGATTGGGTGCTATGCTAACTCAGATTACAGTTACATTATTTACATAACGGACTGAATGATCAGCTTGCAGACTGATTGCTGACTGACAGAGTGTACAGACATAGTGAGGTGGAAAACTTTCATACTACAGGGTCACAAGTCATGTTTTTGTCCAGCTGTCTTACAGCCATCTTTCTAGGATCTGTGGAACGACAGAAAAAACTATAAAAGACAAATCTGAAAGGGTCTGGGGAGAAATGGGCTGGTGGTAGTGGTGTTGGGGGCAGGGTGGGGAGCTGGAAATTGAGGTAGGATTAATTTAAACCAAGTTACTGACATAATGAACCTTCTGTCATTCTTCCATGAGATGTTAAAACGTGGATCCTATGTATCTCAAGCATCAAAACTCAACCATAGTTTTGTTTTCTTGTCACTCTTCCGTGTTCTGTTTGGAACAGTGAAAGGGTGGCAACATTTACAGTGAGTTAAGTGTAGGTTATGCACTGATTGCTCTAACGGAGACCTTCCTGATGAGTGCATGACTCTGCTTTTTCCTGCTCCACACTCTGTCTCTCTGCTCTTTCCCTTTCCGGTCTCTCCAGGGTCTAAAATGGTTAATGTTTGATTGTGCATATTTAGCCCAAACCACTGTGATGAGATCACAGTGATCACATTGTCAAAGTTGCTAAGAAACATGATCAATAGTGGAAACCACAGCACAGGATCTTGTGTGATCCCACCAGTCACATTGGCCAGTTTGAGTCCCTGCTGGTTCTCTCTATTCGCTGTCTCAAGGAGCTCCACTGATTCCAGGTCAATCATTCCATAAGCTTCAGCTTTAACTAACAGTCTTTAATGGGGGACTTTTTTAAACAGCTCCAATTATTTAACAGCCAGAGACGCTCTGCTACGTGTCTTCTTAGTCACCTCCTCAAAAGATACATAGACCTTCTATTTACTGAGTGCAGTACTGTGCCCTTACAGGTGGCCAATGGGATCCCTCGGGAAGCCACAGTACATTGACTCCGCAAGAACTGTTCAGGAAGTTTAACCTTCCAATCAACAATTACCCAGCTTCTGGAACCCTTTGAAGAGTCTCCAACTGCGCATTTGGATCAGAGATTCTAGAGGTTAGTGATCCACTTTAAACTTGGATCATCACCCAGGAATGGTTAGAGGATTAAAATCCAGTCTAACTCCTGAGTAACTACAAAAGTGAACCCCTCCAACGGCCCCACCGAACAATCTCAGCATCACTCCCAAACAGCCTGATACAAACCTCCCCTAATATCTCCTACAACCCAATTCACCCTACCTGAAAAACCTAGCATCCTCCCCAAAACCAACATGGACTCTCCCCAGCCATGGTTAGTCTCACCTGACCTGATGTCCATCCATCCCTGAGCCAACAACCTTTCAGACTGAACCTGACACATCTCTGATCTGACAGCCCCTTCGATGCAACTTCCCCCGTAACCTAAACACCCCCTTGAGATAACCCCCCCTCCACCACCGCCAACTACCCAAATCTTGCCTGATCCAACACACCCCCATCCCACTCCTAAACCTCCCTCTCCGACCAAATCTACCTACTCACCCACCAAATTCCCATCCAATCCTTTCATCCACTAACCTGCCACTCTACCATCACCCATGTACCTTATATGCATGTTCTGTCCTTGTCAAAGATACTTTGGACCTTTAAACGTCAGAATACAGCAGCTATTGCTGTAAAGTGGTATGGCTTGACCTCTAGTCCTGATTGTGCATTGCAGTTGAAGGCTCCCAGATCATGAGTCTCCAGTTGGCAATTCACAATGTTCTGGGTTAGAGGGGGTAAAAAGGAGCAAGTGGCAATCCCAGTATGATTGGCCCTCACAGGGAAATTCAGTCCAATCAGATTTGTTGGGTTTTCTCTGATCAGCTGAAACATTTCAAGGTGCTCAGTCTGTCGATTGTTAATTTCTCTTGTTTCCTGTCAACTGATATTGGGTTAACTAGTTACTGCGTTAAACTGATCTATATTTCCAATGCTTCCTTTGTAGAATGATATTTCTAATCAAAAGGATGATTACTAAATCGAGAGAGCCTCTTATTCAAAATGCAAAACATTTTGCTCGACACGGCTAATCAGACATATTGGATTTGGGAACTCCACAGCTGAAGATGGACAAATGGACGGTGAGGTCTCAACTTTATTAGACATTGTTCTAACAACTTGGTAGAATAGAGTGAGAAACCTACCCATGGAAGGTGCTGCCAATGTCTGTCTCCCCACAAGCTGCGCAGGGCCAATTCCATCCAAAAAATCACTGAACTGGCCATCTGCTCCCAGTCGTGCTGTGGGGAAAACCAAACTGTGAAAACAAGAGACAATGGTTAGTGATTGCTCCAAACAGTCTGCATCAGAATGTATGCAGGGGTTCTGGGTGTAGTTGCAATTTGATGACAGTTTTGGAGAGTTTTCTAGGGTTTAGGAAAGGATTACAGAGAGTTTACTGACTTATGGAGAGTTTACTCAGATTTCACTGGTCAGTGATAGTGAAGGAACTGCAATATCATTCTGGTTCAGGATGGTACATGGTTTAGAGGGCAACCTAAAGGTGGTGGCATGTCTGTCCATTTGTTGGCCCTTTTCCTTCTATTGTGGTAGAGGTCATGACTTTGGAAGGAGCTGTCAAAAGAACTTTGGTGAGTTGCTGCAGTGCACCTTGTAAATGCTACTGCCACTGTGCATCAGTGATGGATGGAGTGAATGCTGAAAGTGATGGATGTGGTGCCAATCAAGCGGCTGTTTTGTCCTGGATGGTGTCAAGCTTCTTGAGTGTTGTTGGGGCTGCACCCATCCAGGCAAGTGGGGAGTATTCCATCACACTCCTGACTGGTGCCTTGTAGATGATGGGAAGGCTTTGATGAGTCAGAAGGTGAGTTACTAGCTGCAGGACTCCAGCCTTTGACATGTTCATGCATCCGCAGTATTTACATGGCTGGTGCAGTTCTGTTTCTGGTCCCCAGGATGTTGACAGTGGGGGACTAAGCAATAGTAATGCCATTGAATGTCTTGGGGAGACAGTTAGATTCTCTCTTGTTGGAGCTGGTCATTACCTGGCATTTGTACGGCACGAATATGACTTGTCATATATCAGCCCAATACAATTCTGCTGCTGATGATGGCTGACAGCACCTCATGGATGCCCAGGCTTGAGTTGTTAGGTCTGTTCAAAACCTCGTCCATTTAACACAGTGATAGTATCACACAACATGATAGTGAGTAACCTCAACGTGCAGATGGGGCTCCATCTCCATAAGGACTGTGTGGTGGTTACTCTTACTGAGACAGTCAAGGGCACATGTATCTGTGGCAGACAGTTTATTGACGATGTTCACAGAATTCACAGAATCCCTACAGTATGGAAACAAGCACTTCCACACCAACCCTCAGAGTACTCCACCACCCCCGACCCATCCCCGGACACTATGGGCAATTTAGCATGGCCATTACACCTAACCTGCACATCTTTGGACTGTGGGAGGAAACTGGAACACCCAAAGGAAACCCACACAGACACAGGGAGAATGTGCAAACTCCACACAGACAGTCACCTGAGAGTGGAATTGAACCTGGGTCCCTGGTGCTGTGAGGCAGCAGTGCTAACCACTGGGCACAAATAGTTGTTTCCATCTCATTGGTTCTTTCACCATCTAAGGCTGAGTAAGACTCACTAGCAACCCCCACCCCTTCCATGAGAGCCATCAGCCAGTCAGAGGCTGGAACAGCCCCATTGCCAATAATTGCACTATGATTGGTGGCTGCTCTGGCTAATACTCACCTGGAATTGTTAATGGACTTCCTGATACAACGGGTGAGAGCAGGTTTGGGGTGGAAGGGAAAGGGTCGGGGTGAGAGGAACAGAGGGTCAAAAACAAGCCTCGGGGTGACTTTCCTGGACTTTGCTGATGCCCTGATTGGCACAGGGTGTTTGACAATGAGCGACTGTCCCTCTACCAACCCCTGGCACAGCCAACAGCGGGGCAGCATCTCAAAGGCACAGGAAAGCCGTGCAGCTCCCATCAAACCCTTGAGGCAGCACAGAATCAGGGATATTCAGTGGCAACTGTTCATACATGAGCCACATTGACAAACCTTTTCCCTCATTGGCCCAGGAGGGTTTCCTCTCACTGTGGGAGTGTCGCTGGGTGTAGCAGGACCTCTCCCATGGGACCAGACTCTTTGTTTCCCACTTTGACAAACCACCAGAGCTTAGAAAATACAGCAGCATTCTCTGTTTATAGTTTGGGTAATAACAACAGCTATTTATCATTGCGAGGTAATTATTGCGAAGGGGAAGTTAACTCTCCAAAACGTATTAAATATTTACAGTTTGATAAATTCCATTTTGTTTCATTTCTTCCATGTGACAATACATAAATACTAAAGTTGTTGTAACCTGTAAAAAACAAGATGTGACTGTGTTAACATCTGACCATGGAAAAACAGAGCAGCAACAGGATGCAGTGAATAAACCAGGGCAGCTCCTGGGAACACACAATCTCTATTCTGACAGATTATAAACACCACAGTCTATCAGGTAACTGCATTTGCTAGAATGGGACATCTTTCATATCGCCTGCACTGCTAAGTTGTTGTCTCCTTTTGCTGGATACTCACTTGCCATCAGAGCTGTTACTGTTGGTGCTGCCATCTGTCGATTCTCTGCTGCCTTGCCGTGTCACTCGGTTTCTCATTTCCATAGCAATCCCCGTCTCCGTGCTCCTTCGGATGTTGCTTCGCAATTTCTTTGTAGCTGCTTCTGAAAAGATCAAGGGTGGAAAAATTTAGCACTTGCTCAGTCAATGCCCAGTCTCAATACACCATTAATACCCAGTCTCAGCATGGCCAAAAATATCCATTCTCGATGCCCCATTAATACCCAGTCTCGCATTATACCAATAATACCCAGTATCACTCTGCCCCATTAACGTCCAGTCTCACCGTTAGACATTAGTGCTCAGTCTCATGCCCAATTAATATCCAGTCTCACTCTATCTTTAATAAAGTCTAAATCTGCCCTATTTATATCAATCTAATATTGCCCCGTTAATATCATTTTGCCTTGCACTGGGGTGACAGAGTGTGGGGGAACCAGGGACCGGGAGTACATTCCCATGAGTTAGCAGTGTACAGGAGTGACTGTGTAGGAGTGTCAGGGTGTAGGGGTACCAGTGCTGAGGGCTAGCAAGCACAGGATTACCAGATTATAGAGGTACCAGGCTATAAAGGCAACAGGGCATAGGGATAAAAGAACTAGGCACCAGGGAGCAGGGAATCCAGTGTGTAGGTGTACCAGGGACAGGGTTACCAAGGTGCAGAGGTACCAGGGCATAATGGTACCATGGCTCCTAGACACCATGGAGTGGGGTATAAGGGTGTATGGGTACGAGGGTACGGCAGTACCAGGGCCTGGAGCAAAGAGCACGGGGTACCTGACCATAGGGTAACCCTGTCCCTGTGATGAGGTACCAGGGCACAGGGAAACCAGAGTCAGGGGTAACAGAGCCCAGAGGCAGCATGGCCCAGGGTTACCAGGCACAAGTTTACCAGTGTCCTGTGTTTCCAGCCTCCAGGAACTCAACAAAGATGACTTCAAAAGCATTGCATTGATTGGAAAGTGCTTTGTAAAGTCCTGTGGCCATGAAAGGTCCTGGAGAGAAAGCCAGCCTTTTCTTTAGTTCAGCCTGAAGGTGGAAGGCCACAGGATGGAGGCCTTAGGGCAGACTGCCATGGAATGTGGCTAGTCACTAACTCTTCTAGGAAAGATTGAACTGTTTAACAGATGGGAAACACAACCTCCTCATTACTGAGACTAGGAGATGGATTATTTAACAGTGAGTACTATGAATAGAATTGTCAATATTTAAAAATATCTCGACTATCGGTCCTCCTAACACACATGAACAAATCGTCTTGTGCCTCATTTCCCACTTTGTCTGCAAGAGATCTGGAGACACAGCAACTGAATTTAATTTAATGATGAAGATGAGTGCACAGATGGTCACAGAGAGAGTTCTGCTTCACACAGGTTAATAAACACTTGGAATATTTACATTGTAAGTATGTGTTAGCTGACAGCAATCTGTTCCAGAAATGGAGCTGACATGGAATTGCACCTAAGGAAAAGCCTTCCTGTAGGCCAGGATTTCAAATTTCCTTTATCCCTGTAAACAACGCTGTTAAGAGGGTGCAGCAAGACAAACAAATTATATTTATACAGCATCTTTAATGTAGCAATACTTCACACTAGACTTCCAATAGGATCGTACTGAATTGGTTCTCACCACCTTTCTTCTGTGTGAGGCATTTACAATAATGTGGACTTAAGATCCACCAAATTGAGCTTGTATCAGCTCTATTCCCCCCCACTCCCCACAGTGCCCCCCCACCAACACACTGGTGGCAACATCAGCACTGGGCAAAGCCAGATCAAGTCCACCCCACATCTAATGGGTAGAAATGTGCTGTGTGAAAGGATCCCACCTGATAGAAGTTTAGATTTTCCTTGGCTTGGGCCTACAAGACAAAACTGCCTTTAAATGTCACTCAGACAATGATAAGGATGATTTACATGGGAGATGGAGAGTAGAGGTCAGGGATACTGTCAGAAATGATGAGTGGAACTTTAAAACATGAGATTGCCCAGGTTGGCAGGAAGAATCTAAAAGCAGAATTATTTAAATTGAAATAGTGAGAGTGCAGAATGCTGCAGTACAGAGGGACATGGGTGTACTTGCATATAAATCATAAAAAGTCCACTTACAGGTACAGCATGAATAGGATGGAAAATTGCTAGAGGAATTGAGTATAAAAGTAGGGAGATTTTGCTTCAGCTGTACAGAGTGATGAAAACACTGCACCTGGAGTATTGTGTACAGTTGCGTTGGAACCAAATCAGAAAGGGTGTCTAATGAAGAAAGTTTGAGAAGTTTGAGCCTAAACTCGGTGGTGTTTAGAGAAATGAGACAGAGATGAGGAGGACATGTTTCCTGTCAGGCAGTCTGTAATCTTTGGAATTTTCTCCCACCGAAAGCAGTAGAGGCTCGGTCTTGAATATATTCAAGGTTGAGTGAGCCTGATGTTTAAGTATGAAGGAACTGATGAATGTGGGAAAAGGGGCAGGCAGGAACATGAAGGCCACAATCCGATCAGTCGTTAGCTTATTGAATGGTGGATCAGGCTTGAGGGGCTGAATGGCCGACTCCTGCTCCTGTTACTTCTCTGAAAGAAGCTGTATCTAAAATGAGAGTGCTCGAGGTGGTACTAGGTATCTGAATTGGGATATTAGGGAACTCCGCAACCCTCACAGGCCTCTATGTAAATAAACACAATATAACATTAAAAACTAATGATGCTGGTTGTATTAATTCAGTCCTGAGCTAAGAATGAAAACCATTCATTCTGCCTGAGTTCCTGCCCCAACAATGTTATTCAGATCAATAGGAAAGTGGGTTTTGCTTCCTGGGTCAGTGTTTATTGCACATCCCTAATTGCCCTTGAGAAGGTGGTGGTGTTTTTTAAACTGATGCAGTCCTTGGGGTATGGGGTCAACTACCGTGCTGTTAGGAAGGAGATTCCAGAATTTTGACCCAGTGATACTGAAATAATGGTTATGGGTTTCTAATTCAGCATAGTGTGCGGCTTGGAGGGGAGCTGGTGGTGTTCCTGTGTGTTTGCTGCCCACATTTTACACTATTCTACAGATTCTGATAGACTCAAAGCATCTCGCTGAGAGACCATCCTTCAGGGTCAGCCTCAGGCATTGAGCAATTCCACCATGGAGAGTTATCAGTACAACCACATGTTCAGCAACTGAATGCACACATTGCTGGGGAACTAACCAGTGTTGGTGCCCATCTACCTGCAGAGGTCAGTGTGCTGTGACTGGGCATGAGCAACCAGGGTGTTCCAGCATGGGATTGTACCATCAGGAGATGTAGGACAGAAGTGATGGCTTAGTTGCATTATCGATAGACTATTAATTCAGAGACCCAGGTAATGTTCTGGGGACCTGGGTTCAAATCCTGCCATGGGAAATGGTGGAATTTAGGTTCAATAAATGCCTGGAATTATGAGTGTAATGATGACCATGAAGCAATCGTTTGAAAAACTCATCTGGCTCACTAATGCAAAGAAAATTGCCATCCTTACCTAGTCTGGCCTAAATGTGGCTCCAGACCCATTGCAATGTGGTTGACATGGAACTGTCGTCTGGGCAATTAGGGATAGGTAATAAATACTGGCCTGGCCAGCGATGCCTACATTCTAAGAAGGAATTAACAAAAAACAAAAGAAAACCCAATTCTTTGTATAGCAGACTAGCAGGAGATGATCATTGTGTCTGTTGTGTAGGCTCTTCTTTACATTAGAGTTTATTAGCTCATTACACACAGAACACATCCCAGTAAACTGGTTATAAATTGAATGCAACTGGAGGACACTTGTGTTCCTGTGTCACATCTTCTTCCTGCAGCAGCTTCTCTGTCACACCTTCCTTTCCCAGTTTCAATGGTAACATCCTGATTATTACAAGCCAGTGCCAGCATTACATAATGGCCAATCACAAATCGGTGATAAAGGGATACTGGGTGGAGCACTACCTGGATGGCCAGCTCACTATCACCGGTTCTGTTTCTCCACTTCAAATGAAGTGTATGCCTGACCTCATGTCAGCAATGTCAGAGCTACCTTTTATCCATCCTCTTTAGCCACACAATGAATAATCTTTCTCCACTGAACTCTACTCTCCAACACTCTCACTGTCTGTCCCCTACAAGCCACTCCATGTTTTGATATTATCCATCCACATTGTACTGGGTCTTTCTTCTGCATGTTTTACAACAGTCATGCCTTGCAGCACCTCTTTTTCACAACTGCTTTCCTCGTATTCATAGAACATAGAACATAGAACATTACAGCGCAGTACAGGCCCTTCGGCCCTCGATGTTGCGCCGACCTGTGAAACCAATCTGAAGCCCATCTAACCTAAACTATTCCATTATCATCCATATGTTTATCCAATGACCATTTAAATGCCCTTAAAGTGGGCGAGTCTACTATTTTTGCAGGCAGGGCATTCCACGCCCTTACTACTCTCTGAGTAAAGGACCTACCTCTGACATCTGTCCTATATCTATCACCCCTCAATTTAAAGCTATGTCCCCTCGTGCTAGCCATCACCATCCAAGGAAAAAGGCTCCCACTGTCCACCCTATCTAATCCTCTGATCATCTTGTATGTCTCTATCAAGTCACCTCTTAACCTTCTTCTCTCTAACGAAAACAGCCTCAAGACCCTCAGCCTTTCCTCATAAGACCTTCCCTCCATACCAGGCAACATCCTGGTAAATCTCCTCTGCACCCTTTCCAATGCTTCCACATCCTTCCTATAATGCGGTGACCAGAATTGTACGCAATACTCCAAGTGCGGCCGCGCCAGAGTTTTGTACAGCTGCAACATGACCTCATGGCTCCGAAACTCAATCCCTCTACCAATAAAACCTAACATATTGTACGCCTTCTTAACAACGCTATCAACCTGGGTGCCAACTTTCAGTGATCTATGCACATGGACACCGAGATCTTTCTGCTCATCCACACTACCAAGAATCTTACCATTAGCCCAGTACTCTGTATTCCTGTTACTCCTTCCAAATTGAATCACCTCACACTTTTCCGCATTAAACTCCATTTGCCACCTCTCAGTCCAGCTCTGCAGCTTATCTATGTCCCTCTGTAACCTGCAACATCCTTCCGCACT